AAAAAAGAAGAGTAAGAAGGACAAGAATAAGCAGTGGCTGGTTGCAGTATTCACACAAGTGTCATATTTCCCTTGATTTACACTTTAAACGATATATATTCATGCACTTTAGAGAGAAACAAGTTGAACTCCTTCCTCAGGAAGGAAATATGACGTCTAAAAAGTGATTACCAAGGACACTGTCTATTCAAAGCAGCCCAGAAAAGGTATCAGAGATGTGCACTGACAAACTCATTTGTAAATTCTATCAGCACCCAGTGGCTTCAGTCCTTGGGCTCCTGCTAGTACAGTAAATTACAAAGAAAACTTCTTATTGCTAATTGATCATGCTTACAGCCCCTCCCATATAAAAAGCATTAGAGACACAATACTGAATAATGCATCATTGCTATTACTGACTAGTAAAAGTATTCTAAGTAATTGCCCCCTTCAGTACAACAAATGAGCCCCACAGACTTACTTTGTGAATTTCTCATGTGCAAGAGCCCTGAAATTCAAAACAGAAAACAGAAGAGTATGAGGATCTGGGAGAAGGGAGGGAAAAAAAGCCCCAAAACCCCAAACAACCACATTTCAGTTCTTTCCAGATAATAAAAGGATTTGCTAAGCAACTGCAGCACACAAGACAAAAAAAAAATCTTTAAAAAAAAATCAGATAAAGCCTCTTTCATCAGTCTAGGGGGGGAAAAAAATCACTTGAAAGAAATCTTGTAGCTCCTCCTGAGTCTGTCTTAGACAAGGCTCTGAGTAACGTCAATGAGAGCTTTGGGTCAGAAGAAAGTGAGCAAAAGACTTCCAATATAGTTATATAATTACAAACAGAGTTTTGGCTACCTCCAAGAGCAAGGTGAATTCTTTAATTGCAATGCAATTAGGGTATGGTCACAGCTAATTAACGTCAGTAAAGCAATTAATGGTGATTTTGTGAAGTGCCTTGCATCATGGTATGGTTTCCATCTCCCCCAGGACTCCCGTATGACTGAGCTAATGTTGTCTCTGTTGCCTGTCTCCAAGCTCTCACTGTAGCCCAGGTAACCTGGTGTGGAGGATTAGACCTCTCTGATTCAAGACACCAGGTCATTAGGGGATGTGATAAGCCAGCAAATTGTACAATTATGGGCTGTAATTTTTGTCCATGGAGGTCTGCATTTCATGAACACTACAGCTCATTAATAGGTTTCTGAGGGAGCCTGGCTGATCCGTAGGGTAACTTCTTCATTTCGTGCAGAATACAAATGCTATGAGTCCCTGTGACGCCAGTGAAGCATCCTCCTCCACTAAATCTCTCACTTTGCTCTCCTCCTCACCAGCTTTCCTTCCTTTCCCGTCTGCCTGTCTCTAGTTAACCATGTTTCTATTCAGGACCATCTCAGAGAAATGGGGAAGGAAGTTGAAGACGGGGAGGTCTTCCCATCCCTCTGCACCAGCCAAAATCAGCTCTAGTTTCTAAATCAATACTAGAGGCACAAAGCTCCCATCACCATCACTTTTTACTTGACATTGTATTTCACCACAAAACAACAGTCACAAGAATAATCCAGTAAATACGAAGCCAGTGCAAACTCACTCCTTGGGAAACGGGATAGGTTGAAGCAAGCTGGCCAGGGCTGGTCTCCAGTCATCATAGTCTGACCTGAAAAATGAACATTTTATTAATAGGTTGCCAGGTTTTAAATATGGTTTGACAACAGTTAGTTCAAGGAGTTAAAAGCTTTTTACTGCAGGCACTAACAACCTTTCTGTTTTACCGAAACACTCGAAAGATCTACTGTGACATTTCCCTTTCCATTTTCAGCACATTCTCCACTGAGGCACAATAAATCTGGTATTTACAGTGACCTCCAGAGAGGCCTTCTTTATGTCAACTTAAAGACATTTGCTGTTTATGAAACCTGTTGACATTTAATCACTAAGTAATACTTTCATCTAAGTTGGTACAGCAATTACCAGGCCATTGCCATTTACAGCTCTGCTCTGCATGTAATTGGAATTTTTATTTGCTATAAGACATAAAACCATTTGTAAAAACAAAGATACCCCCCAATCCATTTCTGACCCTGGCAGAAAAGAACGGGTCAATTCAAACAGTACAAAGTCTTTAGCTTAAGAGGTGAGAGACTAGAGAGGGAAGCTCTGTCAGAATTATTGAGTGGAAGAGGACAAATGAGGACAACCACAGCAGAGAGCTCAGCACAGTGCACCCAGTAGGAAGCACCTCCTCTCTGTTGTGTCAGCATCACAGCTCCCAGCTGATGCACTTGGTTTTCATCTCTGCTATCAACACACAGAACAGTCCTACAAGGAGCCACCCATAAGGGGATGCTCGTGTGAACGAGGATATAAAGAATATTTTGCTTTACAGTGTGCACTGGTCAAGGCAAACTAATCTGGCAGCACACCATCCCAACCTGCTGCCAAATTCCCAGCTGCTTGACCACACCTGGGGAAGGCTCCTCATGTAGGAACAGCACGTGCACATTGCCACCCCTACCCTTCCAGTGATCCCAAACATCCAGTGGCTTCTTAGCACTGATTAACTGCTGAACAAGGCACTGCACAAAGGGCACAACCGCTGTATGATGGATGACGTGAAGAACACAGAAAGTAAGAGAATTTGGCAAGTCAGCACTAAAACAGGGCACAGAATCCACAGTCAAAGCCCAGCCCTTGGCACTGCCAGCCAGGCCACCCTCACTCCCATCAGTAGCCATTTACAGAAGTAAATCTCATATGGGGTGGAACACCTTGGGATGTTTATAGAGGCAACGTTCAAGAGCCCACCCCCTCCTCTTACTGCTGCTACTCTTCAGATTTCAGTGCTAAAAAACAGATTATTGGCTGTAGCTTACTGGAAACTTGGCACAAAAGCATGGTGTGTCTTTAGGAAGGAACGAAGTGTAATGTTCTCAAACGGACAGTATCTACTGATAGCATTAGAGACAGACAACATATGCACAGGAACTGTTCCAAAAGAATGCAGTTTTGCAAAGAGAAAGTCCTAGCCTAGAGAAATTGCAGATGGATGCATTTCCAAAAGTCTCATCCATCTTTTGAACCACATAACCCAGAAATTTCCATAAGCCAGTAACACACATGGTATGGACAGTCCACAAAGACATGTTCGTGGACACAAGGAAAACGTACATGCATGAGCAGGGGATTCTTAAGAAGCAACATGCAGAAGAATTTTACTTGAAGGGAGCACCATGATGTAAAAATCAACCAGGGAAGCAGTTATCACTTGCCCAAGAGCAGTATGAGTTCAGGTTACAAAAATGTGTAGTATCTTATGCAAGTAACCAACCCACTGGGATCTGAAAGTAGTGTAATATATTAAAAACCAGAAAAAAACCTCGTGCCCATGCCAGCTGCACTAGAAGCCAGTGAGCCGAATCTCCTCCATCAAAAATTCTGTTCTTGGGTCTAAATTAGGAGCAACTCTGGGACAGGGGTTACACAAACCTAAAGTGAGTGTGAGTCAGTTGCAGGGGGAGGACTTTTGTGATCACCCATTCATCAGGTTCTTTCCAGAGACAAAAAGTCCCTTACCCGCTTAGACACTGAACAAATAAGGAAGATGATCAATTTTTCAGCGTCTCGGAACAGCAAGACATGAAGCAGGACTTCATTACAGGCGTTGTTTTTCCACTTAGTCAGTGTAAAGTGAATAACATGAAACACCTGAGGATGGGGCTTGTCATAGAAACTGAAATTAGGCAAGGAAACCTCTGACACAGCATCTCTAAGATGAGCTCCGTGGGTTCTTTCAACAAAGCACTGATTAATTAGGGCTCTCTACATGACTATTTGTTGTTTCTGACCTACAGGCACAAAGGGTCAGCGACACAGAACCCTGACCCGTGTTCAGGTTCAGCTCAAAGTCTCTTGTTTACCTACCAAGAGACAGTTGATGCAACACATCTAGAGCTGCAGCCATGAGAACCGCCAGAGGTCTCTGACCCACAGAGCCTGGGTTTCACTACGTTTGTTAGGTGTGAGAATAAAGCGCAGACTGTTTTTGCTTTTTTTTTTTAAAGTTAAATATACACACCCTTTGGAAACTCCTAGATGATTTTACTCTAAAAATGACACATTTTTATCGGTACACGCAAACAACTTCAAACGCAGATTTTTGAGCAGGGGAGGCTCAGAAGTCAAAAGGCTGAGTTTTAGGAAACTCAAAGGTGTTAAAGGTGCTTCACATCCCACGAGACACAGCACCTACAGATCTTCCCTAGCAGAAGCTTAAAAGCTGAGACTCACTTGGAGGCTTAACTCCTATGACATCTCAGGTTAAGTGTTACCCCTCTGAAGTTCCTTCTTTTGCAATCTGTGATTAGTAATAATATGAACCAATCAATTTTTCATGGCTGATCTTCAAAGGAAATTGCAAGAGTAAGAAAAAAGACCAAGAGAAACTGCAGGCAGAACTGGACAGCATCACTCTGACTTTTGAATCTGAGGAGCCTCTGTTTGCAGAGCAGGTCCGTGAGAGGGCAGTGAAAATAAACCATAGCCTGCTTCCCTAGGAGGAGAAGAAAGACAACCATTTCCTATGAAATATATAAAATTAGGTCACATGAGTGGGACCTGAACATAAAATCTGCACAGCCTGTAATCCCTTCAATCTGAGCTAGGAAACATGAAACAAACATAGCACGAGAATAAAACTAAACTACTTATTAAAAGCCTACGGTGTTTCTCCTCCTCCCACCTATTCCCTTTTCAAAAACTTTTTCCTTCTGTCTGTGCTCATCTCATCTTCACTCTTCTTTCATTTCAGACAGTTGCTTTCTTCTTTTCCTTTCTTTTTTTTTTCCCCCAGTCCATTCAAAGCTCTAACACAAGACAGAAGTGTTTGAAGCAGGGAAAGAAAGGGAGATGGATTATCTCTGGCTGCAGTTAACAACCACTGCAATGAGCCAGACAAAGAGGCCAGGCCAGGAGGAGGAGGGAGCACAGAGCTCCAGGGAGAGCACCTGTGACAAACTCCCTCTGGAGCTCTTCAAAGGGTGCTGGGCTCAACGCTCACACTCATCACTCAGCTCAAATCCCAGCATTAGCCTTATAAAAGCAAGGGGGCAGAAAGACTCCCTGATGTACCCACTGGCTCTGTTGGTGTTTTTTTTTTTGCAGGATTTGCAATTTTAGGTGAGCAGGACAGCAGCCAAGCTGCAGCCTGACCTACGGGTTCCTGGAAGTGCGTGGAGGGCTGGGGGTCAGGAAGCCTGACAGGCTGTGACAGCTCCTCAGAGCCATCACCTTCTGCTGCACACAGAAACGTTTTCTAGGGGATTGGCCAAAACACAGAACAAGCACATTAATTAAATAATCCCCCGCTGCAGCGGCTTTGCCTCTGGGCCATCGTGGCTCTTGGCCTGCCAACATAATACATTTTCCTTCCCCGGGATCACCTTTCACCAAAATGAAAACCTGCCCATATGTCATGTGCGGCACAAACAATCCAAAACATACCAGCAGCCCAGGGCAACCCCGATAAACATGACATAAGAGAAACCACTTGGGATATTCGGAGCATGCCACTGACCTATTGGGGAATGCAGAGCAGGCAGGGGAAGCTCCAGTGGGTGCCTGTGTTTGGAAAGCCGTCGCTCTTATCCCTGAGAGACCGCAAGCCCCAAGTCCTCAGTTTTGGGAGGATAATGAAGAGACAAGAGCAACTACTAGGAAGCAGCTTGTTCTCCAGAGTGAGCAGCTTGAGCAGCTTAAAAATCTTTTTTATAACCTCTGCTGTCAGATAATAAGATGGCCAAGCCCCCCCCATCATGTCCCTGATCCCTTCTTTCTCTGGCTCCAAGTCCAACTCCCTGAATTGTGTGGTTTAGCTCAGGGCTCCATGGCAGGCTGAGGAAAAGCCCCATCAGACCCTCTGTCACATAAGGCACAAACATGCCACCTAGAAAACAGTGAGGTACCTTTTCATGTTCAGCCCTCTTTCGAGCTGGGCTTGTGGTTTTTCCAAAAGAAGACAATTTAGCACCACTGAAATACCCCAGAAAGGTCCTGCCTGGGCTGCTAAGAACAGAAACAGGCTCCACTGCTCACAGCTGGCATGGAAGCACCAGGAAACAGCAACACAAGGTTGCCCAAAGGAGGTGACACTGCCCTGGTCACACTGGCCCCAGAGAGGGGTACAAGTGTCTGGACATCTGGAAGGACCCTTGTCACTACAGGCAGCCATGGAAACAAAAAATAAAACAGACAAAGGGTAACAGCTTAGGATACAACACCATTACAGCTTCCCTGAGAGGGGTCTGTTCTCACAGCCAGTTTAGTTTGCTATTTGTTGATCCAGATTTCACTAAAGGAGTTTAAGTGCCCCCCCCCCCCCCCCCCAACTCTGGGTGCTGCCAGTGGGATCTTTCTGGTGAAACACAGGCTTTGAAGTCAGCCAGACCATGGTCCCTTCCACTGCAAGTTCCTCCAGCCACAGTTGTGCAGTTCAAGCACAGTTTTGGCTGTATGAGACATTCCCTAACTCATGGAGACATTAACATGCAAGTAAGAGCTGGGCAATGCTGAGCTGTTCTCAGAGCCTCTAATTTAATATGATGAACAGAAAGTTTTCAATTAATTTAGTGCATTTTCTATGCACCAGTTTAAGACTTGTAACATTCAGGAGGCACTGACTGGCATCAGTAACACTGTCAGAGTCCAGACTGTGTTACAGAATATTGACACAGAAGTTTGATCCACTTTTGAGTGCAGGACAAAAATACCATATTCCACTAGAGACTGTCTCCTTTAACATCTGCCCAGACTTTGGGTCATCTGCCAACATCTTTAAAATCATGATTTTCTGTGTTCCTTTACTATGCAATAGTGGTGTTTTGTTACTCAACTACATTAGAAAGAGGGTCAAAGATGTTCTGGGTGCTATAAAAGCCCCACAGACCAACTTCCCAACTGCCCTCTTAGCCTTCTGTGCAAAAAGTGAGGTATTACAGTGATCATTAAAGAACAGTTTTATCAAGATCAGAAGTGAGTTTTTTCCCCAAAAAGTAAGTATCGTGTAGGAATCAGGTGAACAATAAAATGTGCTCTGCTGAAGCTACTGTTGAGAATTCTTATTTGCTAGACTTTCAATAATTAAAATCTGCCTAAATGATTTACTCCCTGCTGCCCTAAGTTAATTATGTAAAAAAGATATCGTTGCTGGTGACTCTCTTGTTTTGATGATGATACTGAGTCAGACACCTAAAAGAACAATCAAACTCAATGCTAAGCAACTTATTTATGTTTGGCTTACCACTGTTATTAATAAGAACATTATTTTAGTGACTGCCTGCTGAGAGCTCACCTCCTGGATAGCAGTTGTTTTATAATTAATGTTTTCTTCCTACTGGCATGTTCTTCAACTCTTTGTTCATATTCTCAGATTCTCAAAGTACAGCAACAGTATTTTGTGCAACAGAAAGCCTTTGTTCAAGGAAAGTTTGAGCATGAAAGGAATCAGCATCATAACAGCACATACTTTTGTTAGTAACTACAAGCCCTTCCACAATGCTTTTCCATCACTGGTTTCAGCATTTAAAAAACAACATTAAAAATCTTCACTATATTTTACAGATAAGGAAAATGAGGCACTTATAAGTGGCTTATCTAAAATCTCCTAAGCCAGGGGCAGAATCAGCAGAACTGAGTCCTGCACTAATGGCTTCAGGTTCAAAAAATAAACCCAAGTATGAACAGCAATGGAAGGGAACCCTAACCAGTGGAGCTACAATCTGTACAGCCTTAGAAGCTTTCCTGTGCTCTCACAGGTTGTGAATTCTCAAGCAGGGTGTGGACTCTGGCAGGTCAATCTGAGGAGAGCTGCACCAGCCTTGGACTATTGCTGGTCCTTTACATCCCGTGGGTTTCACCCTTCAGAACTCCCATCCTACATCCCAAAAAAGGCCACAGAGCTGCTCCACACCTTCAACACCCACAACAGCAACTGCTGAACAGCTTGATTTTTAAAGAGACATCAAACAAATAATAATTAAAAAAAAAAATAAAAGATTATTTCAAGGTATGGAGTGAAATAAAGAGTTCTTCATGCAGGAAATTGCACAGCGATTGAGATCTGGCATATCGAATGTTTAAAATGTGGAGAGGCTGTGAGGAAGAACATGCCCATTCGTGAATTTGTTTTTAAGTGTGTGTCAGCTGCATGATGAAACCAAAACCGTCAATGCTTAGTGAGTCAGCATCCAAGCCAGCATCAGGACTGAGAGAGTTCAGTGTTTATGGAAAATAGCGACAGTCAAGGGGATGGGAATAAATACACGACGTGTTTAATGAGGCACCTGGGTGGGTGAAGATTTAGTAGCCCCCAGATGAAGCAAATTCAGATGCTGTGCTTTTTAATGCGCATTTTTAAAGGCAGGAGAGCCTAGGCCACAGGGAAAAAATCTATAAAATCAGCCTTCACAGCAACTTCCTGCTCAAGAATCTAATGAGAACAGTGCCTTGGATTCATCTTGTCCCATCTCCAGTTTTGAATGTGTGCTTAAGTATTTGCAAGCCAGATCTGCACTGAGTGAAAGAGCTGTGTTGCAAATTTGTACCATGTATTTTGAATAAAATGAAAATGTGGGACAAAACCTTCACAGAAACCTCCATCACAGCAGTTTGACTCCATTTAATTCCTTGAGAGCAAACCCCCACATCTGACTGAAGTGTAGCTGCATGCTCATGGTTTACAGTCCAAATTTCAACCAGCATATCTTGGATTCTAAAATAACTATTACTTCATTAAGCCTTACATTGTTTAAAAATAATAAGTGGAGAAATTTAACAGTTTGCCCAAAGACATACTGCAACTCAGTACCAGAGCTGGATGCCAAAGGCAATGATGTTGTTTTACTGTGTTTTTATTACAAGCTTCTATTCTGTAGTCCACCTTTTGTGTTATTGCATTTCATTTATTTATCCAGGAGAAAAACAAGCTTTTTCTGAGGAACAGTTTCCTTTATGTTCCTTTTGAAGACATTCAGAGTATTTGCCTCTCAGGAAACCACGGAGCCATCATTTTGTAAAGACTATTTGAGCACCTGTTCCCTTACACAGGTCCACTGTACCAAAGCAACTGGTCAACAAATAGAGACTCCATTCTAATACAAGTAAATCTGAATGAGTCATAAAACTTCCACAAACACGTGAAGGGAGAACACCTCAGTGAACAACAATAACCTCATCCAACTCCTGCTGAAGTCAGAGGAGTGGTGCTGCCTACCACTGCACAGGCACTGAGCCTAGAACAGACCTGCCCTTTCTAGCTCTGTCTCAGGCAATCCCAAGAGCCCTGGAAAAGACAAATGGATTTTTTAATTTACTTTTGGTGGGCAAGAACAAAAACAGAAACCACTGGCAGCAACATCCCGTCTTCTGTAAAATGCCTGAGGTTCACTGTACAAATAAGCTTTCCATTTTCATCTTCCTAATGCTATTTTTAGAACATACTGGCAGTGCCAGATGTCTCTTTCAAAGGCTGGACTCTCTCGAGCTGGAGTTGGATTTATAACCATGTGCTTGCTCGCCCCAGATGTTTGAAGACAACAGGCCTGTGGGAAAAGCTCCCCCTCCCCTCCCATTGTTAAGACGACATCGTACATAAAACCGTTCAAAAACAGCTACTCACAGCATCTTCAGTATTTCAACGTAGCAGCCCAGGATCCTGTCTGCCTGGGCGCTCAGCTCGATGCTCATGGTGCTGCAGGTGGGGCTGACCATCAGGCAGTCGATGAGGTTGGGCTCGCTGTCGTTGCCCACGCTGGCCGTCATCTTCTGGTTCGCGGTGTTGTTGCGCTCCACTTCCACGTGGATCTCGTTTGCAGTGACAATAACCGGTTTGAGACGGGATTCAGTCAAGGTGGCCTCCTGAGAGACCAAGTCAGGACTTGTGTGCAGAAGGCGGAGGGGGAGGTTGGGCTTTCGGTCACACTGCTGCTGGCAGCCATTCCGAATTTCCTTCAGGCTTGGCGAATTGTCCCGACTGAATTTGAAAAATAAACCAATCATTTCAATAGACAGACAGACCAGCAGAGAGCAGGAGAGAGAGTGCAACACCGAGGAGCCAAGACTTTTTGCAATTTCCCACCCCATTTCACCCCAGCCCACCGGATGGTTTTACCCTGCGCAATCGGATTACTGAAATCAATTAAAAACATTAAAAGGTTCCTATAGGACTCTTCTGCAGCCCCTATTCTACAAAGACTTGAGCTTTTTGTTACTCTAATTGACATGCCAGTTTAGTATAAAGGTGAACTTTCCCATCCAAGTTGTGCAAAGCCGTAACAGAATCCATGCCCAAGTATGTATCTGGCTACAGTACATGCCCAGACATTTGTCTGCAGCCCTCACGCCTGGAATTTGCGCTGGACACTAAGCAGCCCCTGTCCGTGCTCTACCATGAGGAAAGTTAGATAGCCATAAACAAACAGGAAACACAGCAGAGGGGAATCCTCAGTGCCTACTGGAAACTGGCTCGTGTGTCAAGAACTGCAGCGTCTGTTTTGCAGCAAGTCAGGAATTGAATTTTCCACAATAACGGAGACAGCGCTGTGAAACCAGCTCAGGTTCAAAGCTGTAAATACAGGGATTTACACACAACCCCTTCTTCAAGGTTTCACCCTTCCCTTTGGTGAGTACCAGTGAATGAAGGTTCAACACCTTTCACGTTTTCCAGCACAGGGTATAACAAATATAACCACGTGTCTACAAACACACAGATGTGAGTGACCAGAACACCAGCAATGAGCAGGTGAGAACAAAGACACCCTCCCACGGACCCACATCCATCACACTCATCTTGTTTACTGATGCCTTGGGTTTGGAAATGAGCAGCTGGGAATTCATACTGACCTGTTGATAAATTCCTCGTAACACGAATAAATGGCTGCTAAGCAGACAGCTACAAGATTTGGCAGGACTCTGGGGTGTGGGCATTGTCCCGTTGGACCATGCATGCTGGAAAACAAAAACCAAGATGACATCACTGCCAGGAAGATTTCTGTGGGCAAAACCTGTCAGACAGAATGAGGTGTCAGACCTGGATAAACATCCCTGGGGAATCTTCCAGAAGGGCCGTAACAGAGAGATACTTTAACTCTGTAAATCCCTACCAGTTGCCCTATTTATGATCAAGGCTAAGCTGCAGCATGAGTTTAACTGATGTGGTAGCCCCAAAAAACACACACACAACTGAGCGTTATGAGGTTGAAAGTTAATGAAAATCTCCCTGTCTGGCTTTGAGTTGAACTGTGTAGGAAGGATGTACACAAGGCAAAGTCTGCTTCCAGTGTGGAACTAGGCAGAAGTTCCCAGCCATACCTGAGAATTCAGATTTTTTTTAAAAGAGCCTTCAGCAACATTGCCTGGTGGACCCAATTTATTTGCTGTTTGCCAGTCCCAAAAAAGCACCAGCTACTCTTAACAGCCAGTAAAGGGACAAGCAGATGTGGGAGAAGCAACGCACCAAACATGTACACAGGACTGGACATATGCAATGAATTAAATGTAACTAACCTGTGAATAAACTTCTTCACCACCTCCATTCCAGCATTCAGCTCGTTCAAAGACAGAATATACTCCTGAGTAAAGAGCCGCAACCGAGGGCACTTCCCAAAATCCTGCCCAAAAAGGAGAGACCAAGAGAAGATGAAAGTACATCCAAACTGTGAGTTTTCAAAAGAAATCAACTCAAACACCACTGAATTCACTTTGCTGTTATGCTGACAGTTTCAAGAGGACAGTGTTGCTGCATGCTGAAGTAATCTTCTCCCCACCAACAGTGACATGCTTTCCAATCTCTTCTTTCCCCCATACCCATGTTCAAAAAAAATGTTTAATGAAACAAGAACAAAAAAAATCCCACCTGCACTTGTGTTTCTTTTGTACATTTCACTTTATACCTTCATTTTGAACGTTTTTTGTCGTTTTGCATTTTTGCTTCCACTCAGCACTGCAGATTTTTGGAAATAAAACTCTAAAATAATACTGTACTTCCATGTTTGGCATCATATCTACCCCAGTTTTAGAGAAAATCTTTTGGGCAAGCAATCAATAAGCAATCAAGTATAAAACCAGAGATGAGTTTTCTCTCCAGGGATTTTACTCCAGCTACAACGTGAATTTGACAGGTGAGCTCAGCAGTCGCTTTCTTTAAATCCTGCAGTCAGAAAGGCACCTGCAAACTGAAATCCTGCATCTCCTCACATCACCAGCTATTTTTAGATGTGGAAGGAGTAAGTTCTGCTGTCTGCTGAGTGTTATCCCACAGCACATTTCTTCACATTTGCACAGGTGTAACCTTATTACACAGGTGTTGCAGAACTGAATTTCCAAGGGGTGAACAAGGTCCTCTGAGGACAAACAAGCACTCCCAGTTATCCCTCCAGCCTGTGGACAGAAGAGTCAACCTAAAACAAACTTCATGGCAACTTAAATTGTAAAGAAATGCCACAGTGCTAATGAACTGGTGGTGGTCTGCAAAAGGGATGATACATTTCCAGAGCACCGAAACCTCCTGCTAACTCATTTTGGTTGCGGGCACTTCTACAGCACGACTTGCATTGACATCTCCTAAGTTTGGCAAAGAAAACTGCCAAAAATGTGAAAACAAGCCTAGGCTGAACAATGTCTCCTTCTCTGTTAACTTCACCCAGCAAAGGGACTGTGGGCGATTCCACTCTTGGTATCACAACTAAAACTATTAAACTTCCAACAGCTCCTTCTGGCAGGAGCAAATACACTCGGTCCAAGGGCATGAGACCATGTGTGCCTCATATAACATTTGAATAATTCCATGAACACGCCTTGCAAAACAGCTCTTGCAGTTGCAATTTGCCTGTGAAATTTGTCGGCCCATGTGGGTGTCTTAACTGAAGCTAGAATGCAAGTCCAAGAGACCGTGAAGAGGATGTCACTGCTGACCCCTGTAAAACAAAATCCCTCTCTAAATATAATAAATATAAATATAATAAATGCCCTGCCAGCATACCAAGTACAGAACAACACACACTGTTGGTACTGTTTGCTAAAAAAAAAAAAAAAAAATAGTGCTTATATTCAAACATTTGGGCTGAGCCTACAAACAGCTGAAATCCAAAGGTTTGGGGAGGTTGCTGAGCACTCCCCAAACAACTCAATACGCAACAGCCTCCGGTCCTGCACGTAGCCAGTAGTATCAGCAAGACAAAGAGCCACCCTTGTTCTTTTGAGATCTCAATATCATAGACAAATGAGACGCTCCTTCCCCATTTTATAGGTTGGAAACTGGAACAAAACTGGTCAGGAATCTTCAAAGGCCACTGAACAAACGAGAGGCAAAGGTGGAGAGAGCCAGCTCAACCCTAAGGACGCTGAGCTGCACACATGGTGAAGTTTCCTGCCAACAATACTGCCCCCCAAAAACTTCGGTTACGTGCACAAACACACACACAAACACACATTCTCTGAAGGACTATTCAGTACAGAACTCCCTGGAGAGTGGTAAAGTGCCCAAATCCACTCCAATTAATACATGACACCATAAATTCCCCAACTACCCACTGCGGTACAGACATGTTGATTTTCAATCTGCAAATGTTAAGTGTGGTAAATATACCCAATTCTCTGAAGCTAACCAAATACAAGCATTACACTATGCATTTAGATTTTATTTGAGACCCCTCAAGAGCTCTGGATGCTTTAAAAAAACCAGGCTGGAATCCAAGAATAACATTTACAGAATATTTCATTGAACGCGACAGAATATTCAAAAATGTTTACATGTCTGCAGAGTGCAGGCACAGAGCCAGGAATACAACCTTTTTTGCCATCTTGGGCTTTCCACCTAGTTCTGTAAACTCGGGGAGTTAAATAATAAGATGGTAAAAATAAGAAATATGAACTGTTTTCTACTGGGTTCATGCTACACACAGCATGTCAGAGGATGGTCTCTAAAATTATACCAGTTAGTGAAAAGAAGTTGATTATGTAGTTACAGAAGTTCATCCTTGAGATCACTGCCAAGTCAACTGTCTTAAATATTTTATTTTACTTATTTGTTAAGTCTTTGCCGTGGCATTATGAAGTAAGACTTTTTTATCCAACTTAAAAATCATGGCAGGAAATTTAATATGCCACAAAGGTTGGAGAGCAGGTAAATGACACAGAACTCTCTTAGGGAAGGAATATGGATCATGTAAAAATATTTTCAGAGTTTGTGGAGGGGGGTGAAATCTGCTCCACAGGGCAGGACAATCTTCTGGAATTTATTTCAAATGCTAACAAGGAATTGATTGGCAATGAAAAGAGAAAAAGCCTGGGTGAGAACAGTTATAAAATGAGTACATGAATCCTGCAATGAGAAGGAAGAATAATAGTAGAAAAGTATAAAGAAGTTCAGGAAACCTTGGTAGGAACTCACCTAAAGAAAAATGGAAATCCAGAGAGCTGGGGGTATCTTAAAGAAAAAAATGTTGAGGGCCCCAGCTCAAAATCAACAAAACCCCTATTCTGATTTTGTTATTTCTTTGATTTTAAACCATTTCAACTGCAAGGATAGCATGTGGGGAGTAAATAAAGCGCCAAGAGCCAGGTGGGAGAGAGCTGGAGCTCCATATGCTGGCGCTGCTGCCTAAAGAAATGCCCCTCAGAACAACACTTTGCTTAGATGCTCTAGAAAATCCCACTGGATGCAAAGCAACACACGATTACACGTGTGTTGATTACAGTTTGGGGGTGGGGGTCAGATGTCTGGTGCACTCACCATGTTGTGTTTGAGAATCCTCTGTACCACCGGTGTGAACACTTCGATCACGACCATGGACCGCGGGCGCTCTCGGCAGTGCTGGAACGAGCAACGAGTCATTTTGGGAGCTGCAGAAATTGTGAAGCTTCACACCCCATGCACAGGTTACCCCAAGATTAACAAGATGCAAGGGCTAAATCAACCTTTCCTGGCTTGCACTGCTATGGATTTGCTGCCATCTAATAGACTATACAAGCTCAAGGGCTCCCGTTCTTCCCAAAACTCACTGGAATGGAGCACTTGGTCAAATTTGGTTGAAGCTTGCCAACAGTTTTGAAAGGGACTGGGGACAAGAAGGTGTAATGGCACAAACTTCCTTTCCTTGAGATCCAGACTAAAAACATAAAATATACAATCAATATGTATCAGTCAGGGTAATTTGGGCTGGGAAGGATCTTTGAAGGTCATCTGGTCCAATCTCTTGCTCAAGACAGGGTCAATTTTGAAGATAAATTTGTCCTCTCATTAGCCTTGTCCACTTAAGTTCTGAGAAGTCCTGTTTCAATTCCTGCAACTCTACACAGCCCACCCCACACATTTACAGACAATCAGGTGCCCATTTCTGATGGAGACCAAAGGCAAATAAAACCCCAAACCAGGAGTAACAATGCCTTGAGTCCGAGGCTGGACATGACCCTACGAGTGGCTTATAAAAATGCAACAGTCAGAGGAGTTTCTGAAACTTAATTTCTGTGGGAAGAAGCAGCTGATGAGCAACTCTGGATGGGAATTACAAGCAGCATCCAGAATGTTTCACAGAATGCATACACAGTCATCAGCAAGCACAAGCATGGATTTACAAGGAAAGATCCAATGATCCCTGCATTAGCTAAACAGAACATGCAGTAGGACACCTCCTGTACCCAGAATGAGGTGTGGGAGTCTGAAGACTTTAACTCTCACACAGTATCAGGACAAAACAGCCTGATGTGCTAAGGCACATGGTTCTATTTATCATAATGGTGCTGTTAACTATTCCACTATCACTGGCTGCTGACCAAAGAACTGAAATCAATTCGGGCAGGAGGTAAGGAGTTTAAGAAAAAAACAACCACCCCCTCAAAGAACTATGCTCATCTACGACTATGAGATTTCAGAAAGCAGAACTGTTCTGATACCTTGCAGAAGAATTCACAGAGGTCAGGAGGAGGATGGTTGTTTTCCAGCAGAGGTGCAATTGCCTTTAAAAGGAAAAAGAGAGAAAAATTCAATTACAGGACTGCAACTGCATATTGCAAACAACTGTTTTTTGGGGTGAGGGGGGAGACTCACTTTGAGAAAAGAACAAAAGCATAACCAGAGAAATTAGAGGTGGGCTATGTGTTTATTTTACAAGTAAACTTAAGAACACCTCTAGAAAACTTTGCCTTTAACTGCACCAATGTAAAAATGTAAAACACAGCAAATGAGAGGGATTTTTATAATAGTTTCAATAAAAACGGGAGCAGACCAATTGTTTCAGGATGTAATAAAGCAAGGATGAACCTGGCTCACTACTTCAGTTAGACCACTTCCCTAAAAGAAAAAAAGTTAAAAACACCATACACACACACATATCTTTTATGGAAGACTTCAAGCTTTTTTAAAGAGAAATAGCTCACTAAAAGTAACTTAGCCTCGTTCTCACCTGGGAGGACTCCATTCATCAAAATCAAGCATCTAACTTTGTGAAAGTTGAGATCAACTCTTCCTTCTTTGTTGCTATGCAAACCAATGTGCTTATGCTGGGTAAATACATTAGAGGTCATACCTGCCACTGAGGGTGTAATGAATTTATGTTGTTGTTACTTCCTTTGTAAATTAGGAAGTGGTACTAGAATGATACATTGTCTCTATGTGATGGTGCTTTTAGGCTTTTCTAGTCTTCAGCTAAAGGGATTCCCAGTCCCCACTTAATAGTAAGGCACTAAACACAGCAGCCAGGACATTTTGTATTAAGCAACTGAACACCAGATATTTTATGTAGATCGTATCTGGAGTTTTACTAAGGCAGCCTGCTTTGGTTTTTACTCTCTTTCATCCCAAGGGTTTCAGCCCTATGAGTTTGCTTACAATGGTTGTGTTTCACAACAGCCACTGTCACAGACACGAGTCAAGATTAGTGTGAATTTTAACAACGAAACCCAACACATCTGCAAAGCTCTGTTTTGGTTATGCACAAGAACTTTGAACTTTCTGTTCGTTATTGTGTGCCACCCTCCTGCAACTGTTCAATCCTCCTCTGGTGGTGGCCCAGCAACAGTGGGCTGTGGAGAACCCAACACCAATCCAGACAGAGTAGAATATCCTGGCTCCCCACCCTACACCTGAGCTGAAGATCATTCCTGAATCCATCTTTTGGAGTGTTTGCCACAGGAGCTGCCAGATCTCAACAGAGACGGTCAAGCAACTCATGGCTCCGTCTGTACAGTCAGTGTGGAAGAGCAACAGCCTGAAAGTACCTTTTCCTGCACTTCCCTTAGGAGTGCCCTGGTCAGAAGCTGTTATGGCAACATGTGCCTCCCTGTCCCGAGCAGGAAGGGATTGGCTGTCATATTGATCTGTTCCAGCACCAGCTAGAGAAGAAAAGCTGGCTCCATCCACACGGCAAATCACTGTGTACTTTTCACATAAATACACAGTATTAGCAATACTTTCCAAGAATAGCCTGGTTATCTGTGTAATGGCAGTGAGCTCTGAATGCCCAGGAACTGCCACCTCCTTAAAAGCTTGGGCATGACCTACAAAGAAAAGTGAATGCCACTTCAGGCACCTATCTCAGTGACTGATTCCATCTAAAATGGTATCTTAGGTAGCAGTTAAAGACAATTCACACCTACTGGCAGCTACCTGCCACCTTGTCATTTTGCAGAAGGAGCCATGGAGATGTGATACAATCAGGTGGTGGTGAGGCTCTGGATTAGATTACTGGGAAAATCTCCTGGAAATTGCCAAAGAACGAAATTAAATTACAGTGATGGGCAACCATCTCTGATAAATTGTTGAGATTTTGTATGTTGTTTCACAAGAACAGAGCTGTTATTTGATTCACTTATTTCTGTGTCTAAATAAATGGGACCTACGGAAAAAGAAAATACGGAGGGGGCTATTTTTACAAATCGAGTAAGCAGCGGGTTAAACTGCAGTGACACATACACATATCCACACTTACAGCAACAATCACTTGCTCACGTACTATCAGCAACAGAGACATTCTGTATATGGTAGCATCAGCCCCTCAGGAAACTACTAAGCCTCAGGGTTTTATAGGGCACATCTGGAAATGATGGGGTTTGACTATTTAAAGTACATATATAGATATGAACATTGTTCTGTGTAGCCTGGTAAGGGGGTCATTTGGGGAGACGATTAACACTCAACATGCTGTGCTCTTTCATATAAGTTGATGAGAATAAAGCTTTATTGTTATTCCTCTATGAAACAAGAGGAATGACAAAGCCACACAAAAAATAGACAAATGGTTTTGATTGCTGCCCAAGTTCACCAGCGCTGGTGGAAATGCTTTCACATTCGCCCCACTTCACTGGGGCAGAGACAAGCACTAACACAAGTGTGTCATGAAACAACATCGATTTGTCCTCAGATTTCAGCAGAAGGATACTCACCACAATAATGCTCTCCTGGTCTTGAGTGGTTAAGTTGTTGTTCTGGAAGAGTTGAATAGAAAACAACAAATGAGAAAAGAGTACTCTGAGCTGGCACATCAGCACACACAGTTCTCAGCTACCACAGACACAAACAGAAAGGTTCAAGACTGAAATTGTTTATTTTCTGAATAAAAATCATTGAATAAAAATCATTCTCCTAAAGAAGGCGGTAAACTGACTGCTATGAGGGGTGGTGCAAGCTTCCATTCCTGCCTCATCACGTGGAGAGCCAAGTCACCCCAGCCACCAAAGCTGAGCATACAATCACCAGGATGCCCAAGGAGGTCTCAATCAGCTATCTCAAACAGAACTAGTAATAATAAAATAGTTGCATGATAATTTATCGGTGTGTATGTAAGAATTACTGGTTATGGGAGCAAAGCCAACGGAATAGAAGTCAAAGGGAGTTTTACACTTGCTTGAAATAAGGCATGAATCAGACCCATAATAAATTTACCATAAATATTAAACCAAACAATTAAACAAACAAAAAAACCCAAAGCAACAAACTCAAGAGAAATGTGGTTTGTCTTGGTTTTAGAAATCTAACAGCACGGGTCAAATTTTCCTTCTCCCCAGCAAGTGCAAATTCCACTCAAGTCAGCAGAAGTCACGAGCAGAGTCACGGGCAGAATTCTGATGGCCCAAGTTAAAATAAAACCCACTCACAAACTTTAAACTGTTTGTCTCTCATCTACACGTGACAGTGCTTCGCAGGAGCCCTGCCGAGGCCATACCTCTGAGAGCAGTTTGGAGACAATCTCCAGAGGTGCTTGGTGGATGGAGTCGTCCTGCAGCGGGGACGTCAGCGCCATGTCCACCAGCGTCCGGATCTCCTTCAGCACCACCTCCCAGCGGCTGGGGTTACTGAGCACCTTCTTGTACTTGTAAATCTTCTTC